AAGAAGGTTTGTAAACAGTTACTGTCCCTGAACTCCCTTCTTCACCTGACTGAGATTCAGCACCATCTGTCTCTAAGTGGTGAAAGGAGTCTGACTGGTTGCCCATTCCTGGATGGACCATAACCTTACCTGAGTCTTTATCACTGGATTTGTCATGAATGGTGAGAATCCCATCATGAGGAACAAAATCAGTGGTTGATACTTGTTCCACTCTTACTTCCTTGATCTCCTTTGAAACAGTTGGGATTTGACTAATTGGAATCTTATTCCAGGGTCTTGATTTCTTCCGGGAAGTCAAACAAAATGACAACATTGAAAGGATGATTATGATAAATAAAGCTACAACAATCCCAATTACTTCCCAGACCCTAAGTCCAAAAACAGCAGTTTTCTTGGATAATTCTGTATTAAGATCAGTTGCCATGTCTGTATTCCCCTACTGCCTCTCAGATTTTCAGAACCTACATAATTGACACAAGACAGACAGAAAACAAAATTTAACTATCACATGCCTGTCAAATATTGCTCCATGATTCATATCTCATATTGAAACTTCCTTCCAATTATTTCTCAATCCCTATTCACCATACCACTAAATGACTCAGCTACACAGACCAAATAAACAAAATAGTAGAACTTATGGTTAGGGAACTCATATTTGAAGCTAAGAATTTCATATCCAGATAAATAGAGGCCCCGGAAACAGAGGACCAACTTGTCAATAGCAATAAAACCATCTAGCAAGTGGCAACAAAAATGGAAAATGGGGCTGCTTACATGCACGCAGTCAGAAATAGGAACCGGAAAATATAGACAGAAAGCAGGCATCATGTGTTTTCTAGGAGCAGCTAATATTCTTACCTTCCCCTAATGGAATCCACAAAAGCAAACTTGAAAGTCCAGATCTTTTGAACGCGCTTCACCATAATCACTCCTCATTCGGAGAAAATCAAACTCAAATCCCCAGATCTCATACCAGACAATAAATCCAAGAAACCCATGTCACGAACAAAGATTGGCAATAATATTACCATACCAAATGATCCCACTTCTTAAAAAGACTAGCTATATAACCAAAATGACGTGATTTTCTTTTGGGCTTTCCCTTTGGTTTTGGAGGTAAAATGTGATGTTGAATCTAAGCTGGAATGGAGCTTTCTGGCACCAGAAACGAAACCCTCCTTGTAAAGCCAAAGTGAAAGCCAGAAATGACCAGAAAAGGCCTGAGAGTAGATGGACATGGAAAATGGTGATGAATATTGTTGAGTGGAGGGCGGTGGGGAATAATAAGAGAAGAAGGAATGGAGTTATCAGTGGTAGGTGATGAGTTTAGATGCCTTCAAACACATTGCACATTATATGTTAATCCTATACAATGTAGTAAAACACAAGTCTGGAAATTTGTAAGGTCCTCTTGGGACTTCCCTCGTTTGCTTTGAAGATGACTAATTATCAGTAAATCTATCCCCTTTTTATCCTAAACCTTAACCAAGAATGTTAACAGATGTAACTCCTGTGGGCTTCTTGTTTAGTGTTCTAGCTAAAACACCAAACCAAAGAATGTTAACAGATGTGTGTAACTCCCATTTGCTTCAGTGTTTCTCACTCCCCACCCAGTAATTGGAATTTTGCTTGGTCAAACGTATTAGCAAAGGGTTAATTATTTTGATGGTGAAGGGGTAGATTAATGAGTAATTAGTGTAGGGTTGGTCAAATGTTATGGTTTCTAGAATTCCAAACATCATTTATTTTGTTGAAGAACATGCTGATATGATAGTAACTTAACAATTGCGTAGGAAGCAATTTCTCAAAACTTTTCTTGGGTTTTTCCTCCTTAGAAATATAAATAAATTTCACATAAACAGGAGAAATTATGATGGAAATCACTAAAAGGGAGAATCTTTTACATGTTACAATGTAACTGAAAAATAGAAGGACTTTTGAACTTCAGTTAGACATGGATCAGAAGTGAGTCAACAACCATCACACATATGCTAATAAATCAAATTGATTAACACAATTAATTGGTTCAGTTCAGAAGATGCCGAACAGACAAATAAAATTCAAGTTGAATATTCCTTAGGAAATTCCTTTTTTTTTTTTATGGTTTGACATTATGCAAAGAATTGGCACTTGGAATTCGGTCCAATAACATCAAGCATAAGTGCATTTCTCTTTTTTAAGATAACGGTTCGAATTCAACTCTTTCTGAAATTGTTAAAAAAAAAAATTATGCAAAGAATTGAGTGAAATCTTGACCTTTGAGCATCACGAATTCACATGAAAAAGGCTTCCACTGTAAGTACTACTCATAAGTCACGATTATTTACCCTTAATTTCCAACATGTGATCTAACCTCAAATTTTCACCCTCAAATTATAAGGTTCCCCAACCCTTTTTTGTTGGAAAAAATGATTATGCAGGCTTTTCGTTGCTTTGAAATCCATTTATTTGGGAAGTCCAAGAGGGTTTATTTTTGAATTTCGATTGAATTATTTAATAAATTCAAATCAAACATTTTTAACTAATATTAATAATTTAATTAATTCAGTAATAATTTTTTCTCATGAAAATAAGAGATTTAACATTCGAAACGCATTGTATATAACTACTATAGGTTAAGAGTTGAAAGAAAATTATCGCTCATGTATTGTTTCTAAAATAAAAATAATAAAAGAAATAAAAAACTATCTTTAACTAGTCATTGAAGCCTTCCTCTAATGTAGTTGATAAATTAAGTTTCTATTTTTAATGAGATACAAGCAAATAATTTCTCACAAATTCTATGATTCCAACATGCAAGTGGATAAAATAGGTAAATTTAATCTGGTAAGATAAAAATTTAGTAATGGAAACATGATGCTACTGCCTTTCTTTATTAGGATGGAAAGAAGTAAATTGTGCATGGGTAATGGCTAATTTTTAAGTGGTCCAGAAGGGCAAGAGATGAGTGGACTTAGCTGCAATTAACATGCACACCTTATATATATAAAAATATAAATCTTACATCTGCATTTTTGTTACTTGTCATAAATTTAGACAGAACAGACATTGTTCCTGTCATAACATTAAAAAAAAAAAAAAAATCAAAATAAAATACTTGTTAGTTACATTCTTTGTGTGCCAAGCCTGCAAGTTAGTCTAATGCATTGCATGTGGTGGCAGTAGCTTTTATCTTCTTCACTTTCAAATTTATTATTTTTTTGTTTGTCATTTACCATGAAATCTAAATGGATTTTGTGAATGATTCTTTCTTTAGTCTCCCCAAAGAGAATCTCAAGAACGTCCATGCAAGACAATTGCTCCTCAGGAATGTGTTTCTTTTGTGCTATATTTGTAAAATAAATTCCATTGCTGGCATTTTGTATCTCAACATTTTTTTTGTGGTATATTCCATTCCTCCCCTCCTCTGATCTCATTCTCATTATCAATTTATAATTAAAAAAAAAAAAAAAAGAATCCAGGGGACCATTCTCATTCTCCATGGAATTTTCTTTTCAATAAAAATAATATTAAAACAGTGATTAAGTAAACAATTGATCTGGCAATTTCCCCATCATACTGGTTGGTTAGTCTGTGTAGCTTGTGTTATTGGACAAGGAAACTTATGTATGATTTTTCTTAAAGGTACTGCCTTGTATCAAAAACAAAAATTAGTGTTGAATTCAGAATAGCCCATGTTTCCTGTCATTTGCTCTCTTCCCTTTCAAGGGTCATATGCCCCTATCTTCCTAGGGCAGATGCAAATGCCGACTGGGTCCCCCCCCGCCCCCCTAATGAAAATATATGCAACAGCTCTATACCAAGCATCAAAAGGCTAATGTTGGGTCTAAAATGATTTACGGTCTCATTCAGAGCCACAAAAGGGGGCAGGGACCCAATTTCACTAATTGGGTCATTAGGTGATTGTCCTTGATACATAATAAGGGTATGCAATTAATTAAGTAGTTCCATCCAAAATGCATGTGTACTCTTGTGACAACGAAATTGTGGTTGGGGATTTATGTGCTCTTTTACTTCTCTTCCCCTCATGCTAGCTCCAACTCAAACCTACCTGCAACACGGCATTATTGTTAATTACTTCCTTCTTGTGATCCCTTGTATGTACCTACCAAAAGCCGACCTTTACACAGCTATGCCCTTGAATACGGTGGGGCTAAACCCACGTTTGCAAATAAATTTTGTTGCATTCAGTTTATCTTCGTTTTTGTCTCTGGTTAGAAAATTTAAATCCATACAGATATGACACTGGAGCTCTTCAAAGTAAATGAAAATCTTACAAAAGAAATACCTGCTCCAACAGGGTTGATTATCAGTTTATTATCTCACATAGACAGAAGTAAGAAAAGGGTCTTTCCCAAAACACCAACAAATGTTTCTTTCTAATCTATCAGCTTATTAGTTTTGGATTCAAGAGATAGCAGATTTGACTCACTGGCAGTTCTCATGTCTGATTACTGGGCTGTTATGACTTAGGTCCCTGAATTTCAACTGATGCAGCATGGATGTGTGTTAGAGAGGCTAACATGGAGAAATGGTGCAAATGTGGATGTGAACTTCGTATTTTTTTTTTTT